TCATATATATATATATGCATTACAAATATTAATTAAAGCAGGGATGGACAATGAAATATAAACTTGTTGTAATTTGTTTTGTTTCTCTTTTTTTTTATTATTAAAAATAGTCTGTTACTCATAGTATGTGTTTTTCTATAAAGGTGTTCTGTTCTGTTCTGTTTGTTTGTTTTCCCTAATTGTTGTTCGTTATATGTGCTTGAATTATCTTCTCTCTCTTCCCTTTCTAGTTTTAATTTTTGTACTCAAACACACACACAGAGAGAGAGACCCACATTACTATTATCAATACAAGTTGGAAATCAATCAGTCTATCAATAAACCATACATACATCTATCTCTGTCTAGATCTCTTCAGGCTTTTTTTTTATTATTTATTTATATACTATTATTATTATTATTATTTTATTGTTTTAAAACAATACTCAGTGAATTGAATATTTTCGACACCCATTCTCTCTTCATTTTGTTTTTTTTTTATTATTATGTAGAAATAATGCATATATACATATATATATATAAACACTATTTCCTCGGATAGAGAATAACACTATTTCAGTCATTATGTTACATTTTCCGTATTTTTTTTCCCCTAATACAATAGAGTACATAATCTCAAAATAATGCAGTGAGTCAAATAACAATTAGTTATATATAATTTAGTATTTGGCCTATATTATGTGTTAATCGGTTCCAGTTGCCAAATCATAGCGATATTCTAGAATTGTGAATGTAATAATAGTAGTAAAAAGCTAGTCATTGAAGTGACATTAAAAATTATGAAATTTTCAATCTTAAACAAATACAAAAATTCTAATGGATACTATACTATATCAATTAAGATCTCGAACCATTGCTTATGATGATCTCGTGAACCACAATAGTGTAGTTTACACTCATCTACATGACTTAGTTCAACATTCAATGACTTCATGGACTGATATCGCTTCTTGATTTGAATACCCCTAACTATCAGAGACTATTCTTGTCGAAGTAGGTGGTTATGGAATATACATATATGATCTCACCATCTCGGTTTCATCAACTGACTTCCCATTGTTACCTAGTAACCTTTGTTAAGCCGTTATTGCTCAATTAGTGTTTATAACATACTTGAGCAATGTTTTAAAGCCAGCTATAAGCCTACGAACATCTCCTACATTTGTTAGTCATCAAGGAGTTCATTTTAATGAGTGTATCTTGATAGAATTATTTGAAGGAGAAAATTCTGAAGATGTTTTTCATTTATGTAATAGTTCTTCATGAGCTTTGACACGACTATCAGTGTACACTTGTGTACAATTATAGAACTAGTCTTCCTTACATCCTTGTATGCTATGAATCTAAAGTATATATTGATTATTATGAAATAGATTTACACGAATCTTTAACTTCTTGACGATATCAATTTCTAAAGCAATACAATCGTATTTTTTTAATGGGTAATTACTTACATGTCATTTTCTATAGTAAAGTAGAAAAGTTGGCGAAACTCTAATTTATGGACGACCTTTTAACGAATCTCAAGTGATCTTCAGAGATATTAGCCATTCAGCGAACAGTCAGTGTAGAGTAAAAATACATTATACAAAACCAAAGAAATCAAGTGGATACACTTCTTTTACGTGGTTCAAAAACTTGTCAAGCTTAGAAAGAGGTTCCGAGGTTGCAAAGTCATAAAGCATACAGTTGAGGAAATCATCCATATGACTACAGAATAGTTGGCTTCTGGAGCCATGATAAAGTCTCAAAAACTCTTTCAGCCTGGACCACATAGTTTCACTATTGGTTATATGTACTTCGGCTGTTGAATACACAAAATGCTACTTGTGGATAACGAGACGATGCACATAACCAAGCCTATGTAGGAATTTGTACGCTCTCCAAACATCCGAATATATTGTAGTACCTGACTGCATCCAATGTTACTGGTGCTTTTATTATCCACTTCGCGATAGTTGTCATAGTTTGACTTAATTAGGAATTATATATGTGGTTTTCATCACGAACTCACATTAGCTATAACGCCAGGAGTTTATTTAACCAAAAGGATGAAAGGCTTTTGCGTTAAAATCCGAAATCTATTATCTTATACCTGACTTATTCGTTCACAAATTATACTCACACCGTTTTATCTTTTATAGCCGTTCAATTATCATGTTTTGCACAAAATTCGTTGTGAACCCATCATACGTTAGCATTAAACACTGAAGTTGGCACCGTAACCTTGAAATCTATAAGACGCTTCTGATTAGCTCGTCCATGGATTAGTCTCGCTGAGAAGTTTTATAAAATGGTTAAAAAATAGTCAAACTTATTCGAATCTCGCGGGGGGCAGGATCATGGATGCGCACTGCTGAGGAGTCCCATACTGGAATGAAACTCCCGTCCAGTGCTGCCAGGTTTTCCATGTTGGGCTAGATTCAATTGACTCATGATTTCAACTATTGAAAATGTTATTGTCAAGAAGAAAGTTTTCTTTATTGAAGTGTTTTCATTCTCCCTAATGAATTAACGTGATATTCTCATAATCGATGAACTATGAAATGTAGTTAACCATATTAAATAGTACAATTCGACTATATAATATTCTCTTCCAACTATTTCCCTTTAGGTTAAAGTATTTGCACAGTTCTTACATTGTTTTGTTCCACTTTTAGATGTGATTATATAACACTTTTTATCTTAACTTCCAGTTTTCAACAAACATATTATTCACATTATCAGTTAGTAATAATCTACCTTATATATATTGAATTAAAAACACTGTTTTTGATAAGTTATACAACTGTGCTAAAATGGTAGAAAGTATGTTTGTGAGGTTTAGACCAACTGAACTTTAGGTGTATTTTAATGATTTGATAATGTACAAGATGAATCGTAAGCAAATCTGACATATGGTATACAAAAAATAATTTGTACGTTCATGTTGTTTATGATATAGATGATAATAAAAATATACTAGAATATGTTCAAAACTAATAATATGTAATTTGATAGTCAAATACTTTTGCAGTTAAAATCACGAACTGATCTTAACTAGATCACTATGGAAAACGTGAAAGTATTTGACAGCTGTTTTTTCCTAGTATTGGACTGCTTGTAATTTCAACCGTGAAAATACTACCATAAATATGCCTTACTAATAATAATTAGGTTCTCACTAGTGACTAGCTACAAGATATAACTTCTAGAGTTATGGTTAGAAGCCGTGAACAGTGTAGGTCGATTTAATTCGGGTTTTAGACAGTTATTCACCGCGTGCAATGTATGAAGTGTTGCACAAGATTGTGGATTGATTGAAGTTGGACATTAACACCGTTGGAAGCCAGCTTGATTCTCACGTGTTTGCAGTTCACGAGTCTTAGTTAAGCGTCCGATAATTGTTGAGACTAGTATTTTAGATGCTATATTAGTTAAACTAATCGCTCTATGGTTGTCACAGGATAATTTTGACCCTTTCTTATATATTGGGACGATCAGTGATTGCGACCAGTCAGATGGAATAACGTCTAACTCCCAGATCTTAGCTAAAATATTAGTCAACCTAGTCGCTAAAATTGGACCACCATCCTTAAAGACCTCTGGAGTCAATTCTTCTAGACCAACTACTTTTCTACGTTTCAGATTAACTATACCCTTTTGAACTTCTGTTAGAGTTGGGTGACCTACTTCAATGTTCCATTCACACTGTCTGGGGATGGAGGGTAGTTGTAGAGTAGCGGAGGCCAGCTGAACTGTTCTCTGAAATGTTCCGCCCATCGTTTTAAACGTCTGGACTGAAAGCAGATGAGGGTGTCGTCTTTTTCCGAAAAAGTCTGACTTACACTTGGCTTATTAATTCCAGTTTCTTTTGTTAGTCTGTAGAGCTGTCTTGTGTTCCCTATAGTCGCCGCCTTTTCCATCTCTTTTGCTTTCGTTGCCCACCACTGCTCACGGTCGTTCCTTAGACTTCTGCCTAACCTAGATCTGATTTGTTGTCGCTCTTCATCGTGTTCAGAGCCTGATGGGATGAGTTTACGAGAATCCATCAGTGCAATAGACCTTGAGGAAATCCACTGGTTCCTTGTAACTCTGTGGTTTAAGTCACTAATAGATGTCACTGCTGTTTCCACAGCTGATTGTATGTCCTTCCAAGCAACATCTGGGTCAGCCTCGTCTTCAGAACTACCTAAGTGTGAACTCAGTTGTTCTTGGAACCTATTTTTGGTTTTCTCGCTACTCAATTCAGTTTAATGGGTCTTTTTACTGTGGCTTTTTTTGCGTCCAGTGAGGCGCAAGCAGATGCGTGCCCGTATTAGGGCGTGGTCGGAGTCCAAGTAGGTACTCCAGAATGAGCGACAATCTTGTACCGGCCCTCTCCAACGATGACTGATATCAATATGGTCTATTTGAGTCCATCGTTGGTTTGGTGTAGGGGGTCTCCATGTTAGACCATATCTCTCCTTATGTTTAAAATTTGTGTTTGCTAAAAATAAACGATTGTCTGAGCATAGCTGCAGCAGGCGATCACCATTATCTGTTCGCTGTGCCGATATACCCACTTCCCGGTTGCCCAAAACGTGGAAGGGTTGTTCTGGAGGTACCTGAAAAGGAAATTGGATTAGAGGTGGTCTTAGTGACTTGAGAGCGTGAACACAGTGCCCAAGGGACAACCGCTTGAGGTCGGTCACACACGACTTTTTTATGGGCAATTTTTGTGTTAGCTCCGTACTTGTTGAGACCTTACCGCCGGAGACGGATATCCGTGGGATAAGGCGAGGTGTGCACTTTCAGGGTCGACCTTTTCTAACCACACCGCTCCTTGTGGGAAGGCAGCATCGTTGTCGTGCTGGTTGTCTGAAGGAAACACCTTACTGCTGTCACACCTCTGTACAGTCAGCTGTGGGGCTTCGCCTTCGGACCTTGGGTTTGTTGCGTTTAGTCTTACCGCTCTTCAACCGACCAGTCTGACATGGTAGGACCTTGAGGAACAGTTGTTCCAGTCAGTATAGATCGATTGCTTCATCACGATAGGCAAGCCCGACGACCACGTCGAGATAGCAACAACGGTCTGGTGTAGTTGACTAACTGACTGATGTTTTCTACAAGTATTCTGACTAGACGAAATATTCAGTCTTATTAAAGAATTCTTATCAGACTTCAATAATTCCGAACTTCAATACTTATTTCATTTATTTCTGTTTCACAAACTCAATCTCAAGTACATTAAATTGTGTATAAATAATGAGTTACATTTTTCTTTTATTACTTACATTTATTTAAATACATAAATATTTATGATTGAATTAAGTAAGAGAAATTAATTTAAAACATTTATGAGGTTATTCACATTATCATCATTATTGTATTTATTAAAACAAAATAAAACAACAAGAACAACAATTCCCAAATATAAAAAAAGAGAAAAAAAAGAAAGAAAGAAACATTATTACAAGCTGAATGAAACTATCGTAACATTTTGTGACTTTTGATTATATTTCAATTAAATGAATAACTAAATAAATAAGTTGATTATTTTGTTAATGGAAGTATGCAGTACTATATGATGTTTAATTGGGTGAAATGATGATTATTATTGTTAAAAGAAATAACCATTGTATACAATATTTTATCCCATTGTCAAATAACAATGTCATCCTTCGTTTTGCAATATAGTAATAGTAAAACATACATAAAAAGGATAAAGAAGAAGAAGAAGCGAACTGATAGTCAAATAAGCATGCAAATATTGTTTAAGATTTAAAAATATCAATGATTTGAATTCATAAGAATATTCATGATCCCAAAAGAGAGATTGTTCAATGAATAATGAAATACACATTAATAATATAATATGCATTGAATTGAATTAATTTATTTAGGTAAATGTCGTCTAGTTCTATAACCACGATAGGTTGCTTGTATTTTAATGGCAGCTAATTCAGGATTATCTAAATCATGTAGATGATTATTATTATTATTATGTTTATCTTGATTGATACTTTTATATTCTAAATAATTTTGATTTTCTTTATTTGATAATAATAAATTTTGTTGAGAATGTAATAATGGAGCTAATGATTTTCTTGTTTTATAACCACGATAACCAGCTTGAATTTTAGTGACTGCTTTCACTTTTCCATCATCATCATCATCGTCATCATTATCTCCATTTTTATTCCCATTAATTCTATTGATTTTATCATTATGATAAGAAATATTTTTAATTGGTGTATATTCTGTGTAATATTATCATCACGTAATGATTTTCTAGTTAAATAACCACGATAACTAGCTTGTATTCGTGTGGCGGCATTCTCTAAATCATTATTATTTCTTAATGGTGATTGATGTGTAGTATATAATTGTCTACTGGATGTTACATTATAATTTGATGATGGTGAAGAAGAATTCAATGATAAATTACCATATTTTTTACGTGTACAATAACCACGATAACCAGCTTGAATTTTAGTTGCAGCCAATGATTCTTTATCTAAATAGTTAGGATGTTGATAAGAGTGAGGTGTTTTTGTTGTTGTTGTGGTGGTGGTGGTGGTGCTGGTGTTGGTGACGGTGATAGGTGTTCTTGATATTGGTGTTGATCTATTCGAATGACTTGATGACATATTCTATAAAAACGAAAAATGAAAAAAAAAAACTATATTAACAGAATAATAAATAACTGATGGAAAACGTATGAAAAATTGTACTGAACAAACTTGGGAGATGACTTCTTAGTATTTTTTTTTTAATTATTATTTATACCCCGTACACAATTAATAAGAAGTAAGGCGAGATCACTATTAACACTTTACACTATCGGTTAACAAAACAGGGGTTTTTCATATATATATCTTGTTTGTTGAACGCATTAACTTATAATGTTTATTCATTTTAATAATTGAATTCATGAGTCGACTGAAGCTAGACCACCATGGGAAAACTAGAAGTACTGGACGACCATTTCATCCTAGTATGGGACTTCTCAGCAGCGAGCATCCATGGAACCGCCCCAAAACATATCAGGCTCGTGCGCCAACGCTTAACTTCTTAATGTCTAATTTTAAGTAATCCACGAAAATGCGCCACCGTCCACTATTGTCTTAAGTGAGTTACTATCTGATGTGTGGGCGACGATCATAATGATTGGTTGTCTGCTTAGTCAAACATGTAGATAGTTTCATAGGTGTCAGATGAGTTATATATTCCTCTATCCTTATTATTATTTTGACTCACTTATTATTGATTGTTCATCGTTATTGGATTGTGTCCGTTTCGATGTGGAAATATATTTACGTTCTAGTCAGGCTAATCACGTGTTCTTTATCGTCTGAGTTGTGTTAAAGTTCTGTAGAAAGAATAGACAGTTGAAGGGAGTCTAGTGTAGATATTCGTCTAAGGTAAATTAACGTCCCATACGTGGAAACCCAACGCTTATAACATTAGACGGAGTAAAACCGAAGGTTGTAACAATTAGCGACGGGGTAAAAACAAAGAACGAAGGGTACAAACCACCAGTTATAACAATTGGCGACGGCGGTTAGAACGGATCTACGCCTATATATTCAGTTAAAGTGGATTTTATAACAATAAAATCGATGATCTGAAAACTTTATGGCAACAGCAAAATTCTCTTGTCGAATTATTGGTCAAAAGTATGTCACTATCCCCAAGGGCCAGTGTATCTAATTCCAATATGACTCCGGATTCTATTGGGAATTCAATAAATGAATTTAGATTTGATCTAGAATGTGGAATTACCTTTGAGGCATGGTTTAAACGCCATGAGGATTTGTTTATTAATGATTGTAAAGAGTGGGACGAAGGTTCGAAACTCAGATTATTATTACGCAAGCTCGGAGTGTCTGAACATGAAATGTTCTGTAATTTTATCCTCCCAATGAAGCTAACCGACATAACCTTCAGAGAAATAGTAGAGCGCCTGACACGTATATTTAGTGAACGATCATCAGTTTTTCACACCAGATACCAATGCTTCCAGCTTGCAAAAAGACCACAGGACGATTATATGACGTACGGAAGTATCGGGAACCGGGAATGTGAGCGATTCCGTTTACAGGAAATGTCGTCATATCAGTTTAAATGCCTTATTTTTGTCTGTGGTTTACAATCTGCAGTAGATGCAGATATCAGAACACGGAGTTTAGCGAGAATCGAACAAGATTCTAATATCAGTATCTGAAGAATGTCAAAGAATGGTTAATTTGAAGCATGACACAAATGTAGTAAAAAGGAACAATGAACATGTGGAAGTTAATGTTTTGCGGAAATCTTTTAATGAAAATAAGGATCGGTACTCTCGGCGAATTCCAAATCAAATGAAACATTAGTGATAAAGTCTTTTGAATGAACTAAACTTATATATAATTTAAAAATGAATAGTGAATTCAGTACTGTTTGTTTCAATAAACATCGCGTTATAAACTTAGCCATTGAATCATAATAGCCACTTTCTTGTACATTGCAGTGAAGTTTAAATTCACTTGGTATTATTTGACTTGTATCTTCCCATTGAAGTTTAAGACTGCAATTGATCAGTCTTATTGACATACGTGCATACTCTACTGATTGCCTCGATATTGCCTTAATTCACAAGCATTATAAACAAAGATGGATAGTGGTTAGCGATGGGATCCAGTTTGACGCGAATTTCGTCCACTTTGGGACTCGTCAGCTGGATGTACCTGATTCTCAGACTCGGACGCAGTACCGTTCACTTCAAACACCATCTCGTTATCCACTTAGCTACTGTGTTCATCTTTGCTTAGGATCCCTATGAATTAAGACAATATCGAGATATTACACACATATGCCAATAAGAAACTGATCAATTGCGATCCTAAACATCAATGGAAAGATTCAAGTAAACACTACCAAGTGAATTTGATCATATTGTTTTCAAATATAATCTATTAATACTGTCAGTAGTTTTTCAGACCAATTTTTTCTCTGATTGTATCATGTGAATTTATGAACTAAATTAGTACTCTCAGAATATAATTTTGTCCAGAGTTAACTCAGTTAATTATGACAACCTAGAAAATGTCACTTGATAACTGACTTTAACCAAATTATTTAATTCACTTGGTTAAAATAGTGAATTCCTTGCTTAATTGTACTGAAATAAATATCGTTAGAGATATATTTACAGTTATCTATTTTTATCAAAATGGGGGTTTGTGGAGATTTTAGTAATTAAATTCATGAATCGATCTAAGCTAGACCACTATTGAAAACGGCAGTCTAGCATAGTCTAACACAAATCAACTTGTGAATTCAACTATTAACATATCTATTGAATAATTGTGAGTTATTAGATTGTGGATCGTGCTCCACCAACTTTCTTCTTCTTATTATTATTATCAGTTTAGGGGTTGAGATCATGAACTGATTGATGTTAGACCACCATTGGAAACCTGGAAGCACTGGACAGCCGTTCCGTCCTATTGTGGGACTCCTCAGCAGTGCGCACCCACGATCCCGCCCACGGGATTCGAACCCAGGGCCTTCAGTCTCGCGCTCGAACGCTCAACCTACTGGACCACTGAGCCAGCCGGTATCCAATGTTGTTAATGTCTAACCTCAGCCAATATATGAAATCGCAAGGCCATCTCCCACTGTACTGAGGTAGACACCTGTTTCTACCCGACACGGATTAACTCTACTGGTCACGGCTTATTATTATTTCACTTAACGTTATTATTCAATTACATTCAAAAAATATATGAATATAATTGATCTACTAAATTGTTATTAAGTAGTTCAAATTATTGGCCTAAAAATCTAGAGATATCTCTCGCATCTATGCACACATAAACCGACATGTATAGAATCACGCTCGAATATTTTAGAGTTTCTACTATTTTTTGGATTATTTTGGACTATTATTATTATTTGTGTAATTATAATATGGATATGTTTACACATTATTTTGTAATCACATGTTTTTGCTACACACATTCTGTGATAACATGACGAATGCAAATTTTGTAACCTAAATGAATAAAATCAATAAACTACACCTTACAGGAAATTTCATTCCATAATTTATTTTTATATTATCTCTTCCTATTTGTTCGTATATACATATACAGTTGTGTGCATGTATGCGTGTGTGTGTGCGCGCTAAAATTCCTTTGTGTTCCACATGAAAAATCAATAAACCGTGACCTTGAATTAAGTAAATTCTGTTGAAAAATAAAGCAATAAACATCTTTGGAACAACATCCATAACTCATCATTATGATTCAGGGTTCTGTTGTGAACAGAATTTAAAATTGATTGACTTATCTAGATGAAATGCTAAGATACTTCACTTCTTCATGTATCGATTCTATGTATTTTTATCATAATGATCAGTAATTAGTGATGTTATTTATATGATCGATAAGGTTCTGACTTTGAATCTTGTGAGGCAAGATGATCGATTCGCACTGCTGAGGAGTCCCATAATAGGACGAAATATCTATTGAGTGCTCCTAGGTTTTCCATGGTGATCTAACTTTAATTAACTCATGAATTCAATTATTAAAAAACAACTATTACTTAATTTAGTAGTAAAAAAACTAGTAATTGAAAACAAGGAAATGATAAATAAAGTTATATAATATATAAAACAAACTTTACTCTTTGACATAATGATATATTGATTGAATATATTCTGTTCATTATATAAGAAGAAAACAATTAATGTCAACCTCATGTTTAAATAATTTATTGTCAAGTGAATCACAAGAGTTACTGGATAATTGACATGTAATTATTGACCTAATTGAATGTTTTTTTTTCTTTGTGTTAGAGAGATAATTTAGAATTATTATTAGCTTTATTCTGTATTATATTTCTGGTATAATATAGAATAATTCTAAGTAAAAAGTTCCTATTTGTTATCTCTTAGTGAATCCTGACGATAAACATTAAGTGATCAATAGTTAGATGTTAAAAGTCGAGTACACCAAACAATGTACATTCGTTTCGGTGCATATTGCCAACAATTACGATGTTATTGATTGGGCACTTTATTAATTTGTTACAATGAAAGGTTGTACAGTTTTTTTTTTTTTGAAACACACTTGATAAATAGGTTATACGATTAATAAGCATAATGATGTGTTTAATCAAACAAGAAAACAGATAACTTGTTGAAATATTGGAATGGTAGAAGCAGATAGCCCAGATATTCAAGTAGACCACGTTAGTTTTAGCATGTGAACCATTATAGTTCTCACTAACAATTCTATTACAGATTAGCTGTAAAATTTTCAGATATAAAACTATGCACTTAATCATTAGACCCCTGAATCGTTATACGTTTCTTTTTTTAATAATTTTAATCAATACATGATATAATATGACCATTGTCCAATGACAACTGTTTCAGTTCAATTATAGCTAAGCTTCACCATTCATAACTAACTGATTTCATAACAATAGATTTAAAGTTTACTTGGTATTAATTTACTTGTATCTTCCTATTGTTATTTAGGACTTCAATTGATCAGTCTCATGTACAGATTGCCTCTATATAGCTTTAAGTTACAAGCTATTTAAGCGAAAATGAATAGTGGTTAACAGTGAAATCCAGTTTGACGCGCGTTTCGTTCTATTT